GCTACATGTCTAACTTTTAATTATAAGAGTGGCAGTGGACACTAATAGTAGTTGCCACATTTTTTAAAGGAAATGTAGTAGACTCTGAGGTCCTTCCTGACCAAAGTGATCTTCTAGTAAAGGAAAAAAAGAGAGAGCATTACTAGGCTAGACTCTTCATTGCTTCCACTTTAGGCTTGATTCAGTAATGCAACATCTTTAATCCACATCTGCAGCTTCCCTGTTTCCTGCCTGGCACCCAGCAGAAGTTTAAATAGCTCTTCAGATACTCTAAAGTATGCCTTACTGCTGGAGCTCTGTAGGGGCAACTTCACTTTTGGATATAGTCAGAGGATCATGTGCATTGGTCATACTCTGCCTCCTTAATACATCCATGAATGCCCCTTATTCAAGCCACAAAGGAGTTTGGAGCAAAAACGTCACACTAGATAATCCTCCTGTGTAGAAGAGGATCACTGGGTGATCCATTTTAGTCTTATAGAGGAGCACAAAAAAAAAAAAAAAATGCAACAGAGCACAGATTTCATGAGTGTGCCTCTGCCCTCTCAGCATCCCCTCTGGGACACTCCACTTGAATTCTGAACAGTTAATGCATGCACAACCTCATATCTGCCCTACAGATTGCAAGTTTGGTGTAAATCAATTAATTACACCTTAGTGATACACTGAGGGTCCCAGTTTTGCAGGTGGAAACAAGACCAGTAGGCAGAATTTGGACCATTTCACCCAGCTACATTGGCAATAGAATAAGCAGCCACATAAATTGTCACAAATAAATGTGTGAGACTTTGCAGTTGTAGAATCCCTTAGTTATTAATCAATCAGAAAAAAACTGATGCATCTCATAACACTTGCTATAAAACTTGAATGTGACATTAGAAATATGGGACCCATGACTCAAGGTGAATCACCAGAACATTTAGTACTTTGATCAATACATTTGTGAAACAGAAGAGCAAAAAAATAGGTGATGTCTTGATATCACCATGAATGAAACACCAGAGCTCAAATATAAGCTTTGCATTTACTGGAGCCTTTTAGAATAACCTCAGATTCATGTGATAAGTTAACCTATTTTCTTTGTCACAATTGGTATAAATTTAAAACAGCTGTATATCTCCACTGAGGCTTAAAGCACCATTTGATCTAATTTTGTTTGACATTTACCCCTCATCCAGAAATGGTTCTAGAGGACTTCAGTGACTGACATGTAATTAACATCAAACCAAGAATTTGTCTGATGAATGAGTCGGGGTCCTCAAAAATTAATGAGCAATGTCCCTGTGAATATACAATTTATTCAGGATGACAATGAATGGCTGTTTTCACACTTATTTTGTGCATTCTTACATTACACTAAATTACATGGTAAATGCTTTAGAAATCTATTTCAACTACAGTGTGTCCAGTTTACATGTACTTACAAACAATGTTACAGGTATTTAAGCTTCCTATTATGACCAAGTTAATTTAATCACCAGAAAAAGCATTAGCCTATCATGTGTCAAAAGATTTTGATCTATTGTAGGTAACAAGAGGAAGCTGCATGTTGAAGGATATTTTGACTGCTAACCATAAGGAAAATAAAAAGGAAAAAGTGATTTCCATTTGCAGTAAAAGGGAAATATATAAGATACTGGAAACTAGTCCACATAATTGCAGCTGGAGAAGAATCCATCTCAGCAAAATCTTCTCAGATATTATCAGTAGAAGATATACAAGGAAGACAGATGATCTTAAAGCTAAAGGGTGCTGAATGGAGCTAATGGAATCCAGGCTCCATTCCTGGCTTTGTTGCAGACTTCCTGTGGGAGGCTGGGTAAATCATTTAGTCTTTCTTTGCCTAAACTATCCATCCACAAAATGGAGATGGTAATCCCTCCTCTGCCCAATTTTCATTTCTCCTATCTATTTAGGTCTTAAGCTCCTCAGGGAAGGGGTAATCTCTTACACTGTGCAGGGTAAGCGTCTAGAGCAATGGGGCCTTGATCTTTGTTCAAGCCTGACCATGTATAAACAAATTGTCTTGGTATTTGGGGAAGGGACATGTGTTGTCCATGGCCTGGTACAAAGCGACTACAACTATATCATTATATTTTTTAAGAGTTTACCTCAATGTCTCTGCTTTTTAAAAAAAATAATAATAATTCTAAATTTTTTTGCCATATAGCTTATTTAAAAAAACCTTAATGTAGGGTATTACTGGGTTTATATGTAGTATCTAAGCATCATTAAAGTGATCTCTCAGGCACCAATGTTCAAACTTGCCATAGCAAGTATGCACTGAAGAATGAATCTGGCAGTCAATAGTCAAGCCTGAATTTTGCAATGAGTTCAGCCAACCCCAGTGTAGTCAGGGGGCTGTGCATATTTTGTTTTGAGCACAAAAACATATTTTAGGACTGGGATCCGAGTTTGCTAGTTTGCTGAGTTGCTTTTGGCTGTCTTTTTTCTGTTACTTAGCCAACTTTATCTCTTATTCCAATATCACACAGTTTTCCCAAAGGATTCTTGCAAGGCACTTGTGTCAGAAGCTTTTAGGCAGTCCAAATGAACCATATCTTCCAGTTCCCGCCCCCCACCCCCGCCCTACTACAATTGTGAGGACATGGTGAAGAATTCTACTAGACTGGAGAGTCATGGTTATTTTTCACTTTGCTTAAATTGTCCCTGTCTTCTAATGGCTTCACCAGATAACTGAATAGGAGATGGTCCTGCAGACAAAATAAGGTTAACTAACCTTTAAGCCTAAAGGTATGTAAGAGCTTGAAGCCCCATATGTTGACATCTTCCCTAATTATTTATTCACTGCAAGAACTTGATCTTTAGTTCAAATTTTGTGTGGCAGAGCACCAGCAGGGTACTCGCCACTTAAGAGTAATTGCAGGCTGTAAGGGAACCTGCCTTGTGAGCAGCAGGGAATGCGTCCCCAGGAACCATTTTCAGGGGAAAGGTGGGTAGAAGAGTACCTTTTCTGTCTGCCACTTTAAGGAGGAGAGCAGGCAGCATACAGGTGCAGGCCAGCCCTGATGAGGTGGCCATTTTACGATCCTGGCTCCGAGGCCTGGGGCAGCGGTTTGCTGGCAGCAGGCAAGGGAGCAACAATGCCCAGCTGCGCTGCTGCTCAGGGAACATCTTGGAGGTAAAGGCAGGAACTATTGGGGATGGCAGGAGTCTCCTGATCCTGGGTATGACTGCACCAGGATGGCCTGGTGGGGCTTCCCACAGTGGAGTAGCTCCCCAGAAATACCAGGACAGTTGCCTCCCCAGTGAAACGCAGGGAGGGGCACCTTATAACCCTAGCCCCCACAATGTGGTGAGTAACCCAGAGTAGGGATAGGCAGAGGGTCCAGGCATTGTTATCAGAGGCCTGGGACCAAAGAGCCATAAGGCCTGTGTTTGGAGGGGCCCAAGAAGGCAGACCTATTTGACATGGAGTGGTCTGGCTGCTCAGAGACCTGAACAGACAGACACTTGACTAGTCAATGCTGTGGCCAGGACCAAAAGGGTCAAAAGAGCCAGGGTACCCACTGCGAGGGACAGCAAGAGGCAGGGAGCCTGGGGTTCCGACTGGCCCAGAAGCAGGGTCAGGGCCTGTGTGGCCAAAGGTCCCAGGGAGGAGGCCACTGCTGAGAGGGAGAAAGGGTCAGGGAGCTTGACAGCCCAGTATGAGGGCAGAGTAGACCACCTGATTAGGAGGGATCCAGCTGGAGTCCACACTCAAACGTTATGGGGCCCAGTGTGGGGCCAGAGCCGTTAAGAACTTAGGATGCCATCCGCAAGGCATGGGACATGATAAGGGAAGGTCAGAGTCTTGTGAATACCACCCTTTGACATCAGTGTGCATAAAGGGCAGCTTCCCATCTAATTAACATCCTAATTATTTAACTAGGCAGGGCAGGCGAGTAAGGTAGATGGCTTGCCCAGAGGCAGGCAGGCAGGCTGACACTGTGACCAGGCTTGGGACTTTGCCCCCCGTCACACTTCGACATGCAACTGTTACTAAAAAAAAGTGATGGCAGTGCTGGTGGGAAGGGAATGGGAATTCTCACTCATGTCATCCAATAAAATTCAGTTAAAATCCAAGTTCCTAAAGTGATACTTCAATCAAACTGAAAGAATGGAATCAAAACCAACCACTGTGGCAATGAAGGGAGCTGAAAATCACTTTATGATTTACTAAGCATCACTGAGCAAGCTACAACCCTCAGTTATTGAATTCTAGCAGATGGGGGGGTTTTTTCTGTTACATTAAAAAAGCCATGGCTTCACTGCTCATGACCCCAAAATGACAATTTGATTTTATTCTTTTCTTGCATATTTACAAGGTAAAAATGAGATGAAGGTGAAAATGTAAAGATAATATCTAAACTGCCCATGGAATAATACAACACAAAATCAGGCAAGGCAAAATTCTTAAGGTCTATTCTATTTAATGGCTTGCATCCTATAGCCTAGTATCAGATTTTGTCTGTATATGAACGCATTTAGCAAGTTACTTAAATATATACCTAACTTTAGGAGTGGTCCCAATAAGGTTAAATGAACTATTCAAGTGCCTTCTATTGCCAACCTACCCATGAATGATATATGAAGCTTGACACAAATGGGGCCACTTCTTACAGAATTATATATTGATGAATCTAAACTGTTACCTAAACACAAGTTCTGGCCTGCCATGTGCTGGAATATTCATGTTGGTTTCCTGCTCGAAGATAACATATTAATTCTGGTAAGCTGATGTTAACATTGTAACAGGAGGGGAGCCCTAGGGTTGCTGTGCTCTCCCGTAGTTGCCCTCTGTACCATGCCAAGCTGCCTACAAGCACCCTCGAATCTCACCCGCCATGTCTTGGCCTTATATATATATTAAAGGGAGGCTGCCTTTCATCCTCTTGGCCACGGTTCTCCTGCTATTACTTGTCCTGTCTCTATAATGGGTGTTCTGTGCAACCCGGCCTTATGGGCTATGAGTGGCTCCAACCACCCCTGTACCACACCCCAAGCCTCGCTGATGTACCAGACGCTCTTCGGTGTCACTCAACACTTCTCTCTCACTTGGTCTCTCTGCAGCCCCTGTCTCTCTTGCTGCGCCTCACTGGGCACTCGGGCTCTCCGCAGCCCTGTCTCTCTCACTGCACCTCACTGGATGCTCGGGCTCCTCGCAGCCCCTGTCTCTCGCTGCACCTCACTGGGCGCTCGGGTTCTTTGCGACCTTATCTGGCTCGGCCTTCCCTTGGAGTCGGCACTCTCCCAATACTACACCCTTCCTGATGCTCGAGTTCAGCACACTCACAGTACTGCGCCCTTCTGACACTCGGAGTTGGCACTCTCCCTAAACTGCGTCTTTTCTGGCGTTCGGTTTTGGCACCCTCCCAATGTTGCCCTTTTGGCTTTCATTGGTTACTGCCCCCTCCTCTGGGGCTTCCCACTCTCTGCCCCCTCTCCAGGGCTCCTCAATCACGGCCCACTCTCCAGGGCTTCTCGCTGCCGACTCTCCGGGGCTGGGGTTTCCCGCTCTACTGTGGGTCCCCTATGAGGCCTCCTCCAACCCCTAATAGCCTCACCCAAACCTCTGGTGTTTTATACAACAAGAAACAAAACACAAGCCCCTGGGCTGTAACAAATTCAAGCTGCTCGGCTATAACATTATTCCCGCCACATCAGGGATGCTCTATCCTTCCCCCAGTCTCAGGGCTGTACCTGCAGTCTGGCCTCTCCCCTCTGCTTGCTCTGGGAGAGCTCCTTCCCCCATGCCTGCTGGCAGGGAACTGCCCTCCTGGCCTCAGCCCTGGGGTTTATATGTGGGCCAGGCCCCACCCCTTCCGGTCAGCTGGCCTCTGGCAGGTGTGGGCCACTAGCTCCCTCCGATTGCCCTGGTAACCAGCAGCTGGGGCTCCCCACTCACTGGGCTCTCTCCCTAGCAGTTTCTACTCTAAGGAGCCAGGCAGCTGCGTGCTCTGCGACACACCTCCCCTCTTTATAGGAGCAGAGCACCAAAGTGCTCTGCGACAAACACCTTCCTTGCAAGCAATCGACAGAGGGTCTATATATCAGAAAAATGATTTTTTTGTATTTATGTAACACCACTTGGCTCAGGAGACTAATTTTATTTCACCCGCCATTTAAAACAACATAACTCCCTAATAATGCTAATGTCAATGTCTGAAATGCTAGTACTTGGTCCCCAATTCTATTTCCTTGGAAATAATTCAGTCAATATGTTGTTTTCTTACAAATGGCAATTTTCCAGAACAGGCAGGAAAATTAACCCACAGCAAAATGCCATTTTGTCATTGTTTACATATTGAAAAATATCCACTTATTTTGTTTGCTCTTTGTGTTCCAGCTAATCTTGTTAATGCAGTTTTTACAACTAGCAGCAGATGAAAGTAAGGATCCGGCCTCACAAAATTTTTCTCTTGCAAGTGCCCTTGAATTATTTTCACCGCTGACAAGTAATGGAATTTTTGAGAAAGATGGAATAATAAAGGCTGTTTCTAAAACTGAGCCTTCTTCCCAATAAGTTCACCAAAGAACTGAGCAATAGCACTTGGAAGATATTCCTGCTGTGTCACTCCTTGTCTTTAAGGAAAGACAACTTCACTTCTTTTCTCTGGCCAAAGCAGCCACACTGTCTCTTTCCCCATCCATTTATCTGAGAGAGGAAGAGCTGATATGACCTTACCTTTGACATTTTGCTGTTGGTTCCTCTATAATATGAATAGTCCACCAAAGATTTCCCAAGACCTCTTTAAAGGATTGATCTAAAGGCCTTTCGCAATTAAGCTCCACAGCTCTAACATACCTTTTGAACAGCACCTCACAAAGTGCAGAAGAGATGCAAAAAAACCCCTCAAAAACCTAAAGGAACTAGCATTCAGGGAATAATGATTTATTTTTGGGTGTTCCATGGAGAGACAACAGTAGTGAATTATTTCCTCTCCTCCAATGAGCAGCTTGGGAGATTGCTTATATAGAAGAACTACTGGGAAGTATTTTAAATTATTCAAACACATTGCCATTGCCAAAGAAGTCTCTCTCCAGCATATTCTGTTCTCATCAACAAAGAATTCTACATCCTGGTTCTCAGAAAAAGAAAATGATGCCAAAACAATGTAAAGAAGCACCAGCCAGCAGCTGTCAAGACTACAAACAACTGTTCTCCCTACACATCCCAGGTATAACACCATCATCAGAAAATAAAGGGAAATGAGAGGCCAGGTTCCTTGCTCCAATAAATAGTGAAGTGCACTGGCCTCCATGGAACTGTTACCAGTTGGACCAGGTTGGGAAAATAACAGTGGCCTCAATGCCACCAACTAAAGGTAAGCCAGCACGCCCTTTTTGCACAGTGTGGGCCTGTCTCTCATCTGAATTATGCAAGAATCATTCCATGGACCGCTGTGGATTTACTATAAATTTAAAGATGTCAAATGAAGATCATGCTTTCACCAACCTAGGAAGTGGGCTTCATTATTAAAGCTTCCAAGCTCATTAAGCCAACCCTTTGCCATCACATGCAAATACAAACAACAAATGCAATCAGTTCCTGTCCCAAGTATATATTCAAAAGAGAGAGAGATACACAAACTGTCCCAATCGCATGCTTTCTCAGGGCTCCAGTACTATCACTGAATTCCATTGCCACTGTGTGGTCCTACTGAGCAGCCAGCCTGGCACGGAAGAACATGTCCTGTATGGAAGAAAGTAGATGATAATGTTTTCAATGCCACTGTCTCTAAATTGATGGGTAGTATTTAGCACACAAAATAGTGGTTAGATTATCTTACCTAGAATGCTTAACAGGAAGTTACATGTGCTAACAGAAATTTTGAAACAAGGATGTTGTTATCAAGAACACGTTGAAGAAGAAGAAATTGCTTTCCCAGAGTAGGTAAGAAGCAGTGTACAGTAGGTAAGAAGCAAAGAGCTGAAAGGTATTGTAACTGATACCACTCCTATAATAAATCTGTCAAGACATATATTCTAAAAGGACAGAGTTTCTCTGCAAGCATTTATTTGACTAATCTCAACTACAGTTGTATGACTAAATGAGACATCTTTAATTTGCATCAGCCAATGTAAAGCTTATTATTTCAGCAGAATAGAGACTTCATCGGTGCTGTGAAATGGATGACCGGTAGGTTTCAAGGTCTTAGAGTTTAGCCAGATTGGTTCAACTGACACTTTTGGAAATGTAAAGCTTCCAGGGAATGAGTTAGGTAGTGTCAGACCAGCTTCCACAAGACAGGTTTCTATATCACAGACTTCTCTATCAGAGTAATTCTGTACCACTCCTTATGACCCTTTCATCAAACAAGAAAAGATTGACTGGATCATGGAAACCAAAAAACACTGAAACACCAGATGCAATGCCTGTGATGTACATCCTATGAATAAATAGTGGTAGACTTCAGACTCTAATTCTATCAGTCCATGCTAGACTCAATCCACTTCAGGATGTCTAAGCATAATGGCTAAAAATCCCATGCCTGGCTAATACTTGACACACACCCCTGGAAAATGATTGCTCTTAGTAGCATCAAGAACAACTCTGGTTATATTCAGCAGACCTAAGTTTAAACAACAGATGCAACAGCTTCCACATGATCTGCTTTGCTTTCCCTTCATCTGTTCCTCCCTCACCCACATGTTCAAATTCATCAGTAATGCTGAAACAGCTGCAGAATAAAGCAGAAGGAAACTTTGCTAGGTTTTCTGGTTTGGTCCAAGTCAAGTTGGCACAATTCAGAATGCCATCCTGGGTACTGCGTGCTCAGCTGTTCTGGTTTGTGTCCAAGCTGTGCCAGAATCCAGCCACTCTGTAACAGCTGAACAATTAAAAAAACCCCAGAAAACAGAAAGACAAACAGGGGAGAACCCAACTCCCCTGTAAGGGCAAATGTAGGGTTAGAAAGTCACAAAGGTCTGAAACCTGCAGAGCCCTCTGCAGCTACCTAATTTCTGAGAGAAAGGCTGGGAAAAGAATGAGATTGACCTTAACTGCAAAATCTAAGCAATGCTTCCTTCACCCATGGTGCCAAGAGAATGCATTTAGAATTAAAATAGGTTCTGGGAGCTCTTCAACTGCCCTTGAATAAGTGGTTCTTTGGGGACCTCAGGACACAGCTGGGGCCTGCAATTACCTATGTCCTTGTCAGCATTATGCCCAGGTAGCACACTAGAGTAGGAGTCAAGACACATGGGTTCCCAGGTATTTATTCCAATGAAAAACATTTACATATATATTTAGGTCCATTGTTACTGAAAAAAATTACTTCAATACACATTTTGCACCCCATTGAAATGATGTGGTATGTGTTTGCTATCTTGCTGGAAAAGTATAGACTGACGAATTGGGACTTCTAGTACCACCTCTATCTCAAGCTCACTGGATGACCTATGCCAGCTCACTTCCTCTCTCACTACCCCATCTTCCCACGTACAAAGTGGGAGGCAATATTGCTGGTCTTGCTATGGTAAATAATTTGAGATTCATGAATCAGTATACAGGCACTAGTTATTATTACCATGTCTGTAAAATATGGGTGCTGGCATTGGAAGAATTTAATTATTCAGGGATCTCAGATCACAATTTTCCAAGAGCAACTAAATAACTTAAGTCCCTTAAATTCATTTTCCAGAGTTTTATTGTGGGGAGGGGTGTGGAATGGGGGAGATAAATTCCAGACATCTGGAAGAGCTTGTTTGCCAGGCAGTCTCCAAAAAAATCACTCAGTAGCTGCAACCTGCAGCTCCACTTATGACATCCAACTGAGATTATATCACACATTGATCTTAACTCACACAAGTAAGTGTGTGTCAAGATGTTTGCATCAAAAGCGACCGATTGTACCTTTCAAAAATACCACTTGAAAGGGGGGAGAGAATACAGCTTGCCTTCTCAGAGAAGAAAATTAAATTTATCATGCCATTAACTTAAAAGATGGAAAAATCATCTTATTGCTAAGTTGCCAACTTTAATCTTTCTGAATTGGTTTGAAATACAGCTTTCAAAGCAAAATGAAATATGTGTTTTTGTATATGCTGGCTTTGAGTCAGGCTTTTTCCTTCTCCTTCCCTCTTTTCGTCTAGCTAGCTTCCAGCAATTTACTATCTCGGGATTGCTGAATAGAGGGCACATCATACGAATTGCAGTAGCTTAGCAAATGCTCAAGAATTAACTGCTAAGGATTTCAAAATTCTATACACTTTCTCCCTTACTTGTGCCTTATATCCACTTGCTAAGACAAAGAGCCATGGCATCAACCAAGCTTCTTTTTGTGTGCCCATCCCCACTTGATTGTCCTCTGGACCACCTCTCCTCCCATATACCACAGTGCAATCCACTTCCACTCCCATTCTCCATCACCTAACAGGCCTATAGCAAGCATAATTTTTGGGAATCTGCGAATACAAGATATGAACTCCAGCATGTGGTTACAAAATCAATATAGATTGTTAAACTGCCAAACCTGTTTGGGGTAGAAGACTTGACTGCATCTTTGCTGTCTTTTTACTGTCATCTTTGAATGAAATTGCTAGAGGTAGCGACACAGAATAAGCAATAGATGGTAGCTAAAATTTAATGATTCAAATGGAAGCCCACATGGCTAGAGGAGGTAGCAGGACCAAGGAAATTGTTCTGTACAGGTAAACTTGCAATTAAGCAATGCAATGCATCATCTGGTGAGGGACCTAACAGGTTAACCACGGACATACATATTACCCAGTTGACTGAAGGTCCTCTGAGAAATGAGGACTGAAACTTCATAAAAGGTGGATGTTTCATTTATCTTACAGTTGGAAGAGAGACCAGAAGTAGGAAGAGAGGTTGGACAGAAGGGGAAGAAGCATTCTGGCCTGAAGTCTAAAAACAGTGCAAGAAAGTGAGAAAACTGAGATAGGAAAGGGGAGGAGCTGTGTCTCTCCTGCCCTTTTTTGGGTATGGACACGAGCAATTTACTGTACAGTGAAAGAGATTGGGATTTTACCATGTATTAGCTGCTCCATGGTCCCTGTGCTTCTGCATGCTCTCATCCACAGTAAGAGGAAGCTAAAAAGAGGTAGTTTAATTCATAGTGAAAGAGGCCAGTTACTGAAAATTAGCTTCCACTTACCTGGAGGTAAGAACATGAACACACATGAAGCAGCCAGCGTCCAGTACAGCCTGTTGCCATACAGCTTCTGGTAAACGGTTTACATGCCCAACATTTGTCTAGACTAAAGGGTAATTGTTTTATTATCTATTTTGCAAAAGGTATGTGTTACATGCTTCAGGATATATGGAGCTGGAAACTGTAAAACTCAGTGCCCACAAGGCTGGGGTTATGGATAAAGTCATGCTTATGCAACTGGGGAGTTTGGGGTCCTGGGGACATAGGGCAGCCAAATGCAAGGCCCCATTCCTGCAAAGACATAGGAGTGAAAGAGTCTGGGCCTATACAAGTTTGCTGGGAAGACAAAGGAACAGGACAAGACTGGAGCCTAACCAAATCAAGAGAAACTTAGATGCACACAACTCCATCTGGTTACCAAAGAAGGCAGCTTGGTTGGTGAGTGTCCAGCAGAAGGTGCTTGATAAGGACTGCCACATTTAGCTACTGATCATACAGAGAAGCAAAATATCTATAATGAGATTCTGAAATATACCACTATTCCACAATTAATCAACTTCCTACAGCTCATGGCTGGCAGTTGTCTACAAACCAGTGTAGGAACCCCAAAATAAGCAGCCTTCTGCTGAACGGTGCCATAACAGGTAACTAATACTGCTAAACGGTGATGTTATTGAGCCTTTCAAATCTTTTATTCAAATCTTACCTTGTGTCCAGTATCCTACTTACAACATCCAGAAGTGAACTAGGTGCTTTATAAACAAATGAAAGATACTAGCCAACATTTGTAAGTCTGGGTATCGGAAGAGGTCTCAGGCTAGAAGGCAGATAGAGAGCCAGAACCTGCTTGGAAGGGGTCTAAAGGCTTGTCTCCATCGTCACGAAGCACGCACTACCCACTCATTTCACCTCCACATATGCCAACATGCAGAAACGCTGTGATGTCATTGCCTCAGAACAGGCCCAGCACATACCTAGAGCTACTTTTAAGCCATATTTTGATAATAAACTTACTATCTCAGGCAGCAGCATCCTCAACCACATACTACTCTCTTCAGGGAATGTCTCCTAAATTAGAAGCAGCATAGAAACATCTGTGCAATGCTTCTGAGGGGCTAATTAACACCACTGCTGAGCAACAGTGCTAATTAGACTGCACCCAAGCGAATTAGCTTGCCTGTCGTGTCATGCCATGCAGACATGGCTACACTGCCCCTAGTTCATGACACAGCCCACCCAGAGTAGCATACTGTGTTGGAGGGTGCCACCGTATAGACATGGCCTTAGGCTCTCTGCCTCAGCAAGCCATGAGAAGCATGGTTATAAGCAAAGAAATCCTCGTTAAGCCTGGTAGGGAGCTGACAGGAATTCTGGAGCCTGGGAAAGGAGGTGGGCAGATGTGTAGCTGAGACTTATTGTAAATCAATATACCAGACTCCAAAAGGAGGATGGAAGAGCTCATGTGACGGTGCCAATGACATGGGAAGAAGCCATGGACCAGCCTAGGGATAAACTGAGCAAGCTCCCAACTGATAGTGTCAATGCCTAGTTCTGCCTCATCCTCAGACTGTAGCTGTTCCTAAAAGTTAAGAGCAACTGATTACTCCAGCAGCCTGAGCATGTCACCTTGACTTTTCATGTACTGCAATTATTTTCTTTTTATATATATAAAAGGAATCAATTCTTCACGTCTTGGTAGGTTCAGCCACCCCCTCTAAATATATTGTTTCATCTACTGTAGTAATGATTATATATTTTTGATCACCTGCAATTATATGCAATATGCTTTGGTTTCCTAATCTGTCAACTAAGTGCTTGCAGACAGAACCCCCTCCTCGGCACACACACGAAATTGGTAACACAGCTTTTTTTTTCCCCTCCTTCACAAATAATTTATCTAGATGCCTCTTATTTCAAATGAAAAATCCTCTTCTTTGGAGAACATCCACCTCT